TGTCAGCGTAGCCAGGCGGCTCTGGCACTGCTCATGGCGGGAGGCCCCGTTTCAGACCATCAAGTGTCGCCGGGTCACCATGATACTAACGCCCGCTTTCCCGCCCATGCACCGTAGAGTGAGAACTCCCGACATCGACCATCCGTTGCCGTGAGCACCACAACGAGGGGACACGGCCCCCTCCCACCCCTCCACTGCCACGTAGCCTGCCTCGGCCTCGATCCCCCTCGTCCACAGCGTAACAAATCAACGCATAGCGGAAAATCGAGGATCGGCAACGAAGACGACGGCGACCAAGAACGCCACGCGGGCCCAAAAATTACCGTGGCGTCTTCACTAGCTCGCCGAACCATTCAAGGGATGCAAATCATGCTCCGGTGGATCGTCTTCCTAATCCGCATCGGCCCAGCTGCATAATAAGCCTAGCGGCCATGTCAAGGAACGGAAAGGGACTCGCGACTTCCTTGTCCTCGAGGAGTTTGCCATCAGGCGTCTCGTATCCGTCGACTTTGAAATCGACGAGGAAGACGCCGGGCTCCATTTCGTAAATCTGGATTTCCATGCGCATGGCGACGACGTGCACGTCCTGCCCCTCACGGGTGACTTGGGAGTTTGCACCGATCTCGCTGAGCCCCGAGGCAACTGAGCGTTTCTGCAGTTCTGGGAGATCGGTCAGTAAAAGCCTTAGAGAAAGACAATGATAAAACATGATGCGGAATGAAACATACTGTCGGTTGCCCAGCGAATCTTGATGTGCCACGGATCGGCCGGAAGCTTGTACAGCTCTCTCGGGTCGACGCCAGATGCTGAGCTTTGCTTGCGTGAGTGTCGGCCGCTGTTGTAGTCGTCGTCTTGGTGGGCCGCATCGTAGTCCTCGTCCACCATCCACGTAGCACCGAGCTTGTTCAGCGCCTTGTATATGCACAACAGCGCCTCCCAGGGAGCATTCCTAGATCGAATGCCAAACTGCCACCTGACCGGCTTGTTCTTTTTCGGAGGGTTAACGGGCGTAAGCCCTTGCGGGCGGCTCGTGTCATCCAAAGGAACAAAACTACGAGCGTGGGGCTTCAGCCGGCGAAGCGTCTCTTCCTGCTCAGCCTGGCTCCGCGGGTGAGAGCCGGGGTCTGGCGCGGCAAACGGGGTGTCTGTGACATCGATACCCTCGGCACGCGCTCTCTCGCGCTCAATAAACACTTTATGGTACACCGTCAAACTGCTCGGAAGGATGCCCACTTTGCTCACGTACGGAGGCCTGGCCGACGTCCCCGTGCTCGTGGAAGTGATGGATCGGGCCGATGACAGGGTTGGATCTAACAACGGACTCGGGGTCGCATCTTCGACGCCAAGGGCGAGTTGGTTGCTCTGCATCATCTTGTTCTCCCGCACGATCATGTAGGCATCCTTGATGGCGGACGGCTCTTCGGCCTCGAGTGCCTCTTCGACGTCCCGCTTTCCGTAGCCCATGGTCTTGCTGATCTTATCGGTGACTTCGTTGTGCAGTTTCTCTTGTTCTTGTGGCGGCGCGTTGGGCGCAATATCGCTTACCTTGATGGCTTTGTTTGGATCGACACCCGTGTTGAGGAACTCTTCTACGGGAGGATGGAGATATGCAGGCAGGTCTTTGAGGAACCACGGGTCTTGGCGGATGTCCTCGATAGTGGCACGCTGGACAGGATTCACAACAAGCATCTTCTTGATGAGGCTCGCCGCGCCGGGGCTCATCCAGGTTGGTACCATGTAACTGCCCCGGGCGATCTTGGCAAATAGGGTGGGGATGTGCTCATGGTCGAAGGGGAGACGGCCGACGAGCAGGACGTAGAGGATGACGCCGCAGCTCCAGACATCCACCTCAGGTCCGGCGTACAGCTTGCCACCGATGACCTCGGGTGCGGCGTAGTTGGGCGACCCGCAGCTGGTCTTGAGGAAGTTGCCGTCCGTCATGATGTTGCTCAGGCCAAAGTCGGCAATCTTGACATTGAGGTTGTCGTCGAGCAAGAGATTCTCGGGCTTGAGGTCGCGGTGGACAATCTTGTGACGGTGGCAGTATTCGACGGCGCATAACATCTGCTGGAAGAAGCGGCGGGCCTCGTCCTCCTGCATCTTGCCATGCGCGACGATGTAGTCAAACAGTTCACCGCCGGCATACTCGAGCACCATGATAATCTCGGTCGGAGTCTTGATAACGGTAAACCTAGGAAAAATCGCAACAAACGGCAAGGTCAGCCGAAGAATTGCGTAGATACAAATGAGGAGAGGCGGGCGGGCGAGGGGAGGGGAATGAAACGGGAACGAAACTCACAGCTTGATGATGTGTGGGTGACGGAGCAATTGAAGGTATTCGATCTCGCGCTCGACGCGGCCCTGCATGTCTCGGCTAATGAGGTTCTTGCGCGAGATGATTTTGAGGGCGACCTGCTGGCCGGTGCCGCGGTGTACAGCGAGCTTGACCTTGCCAAAGCTACCCTCGCCCAGTGTCTTGATAATGTTGTAGGCGCCGATGCGCTGCTCGGTGCGCGACTTGTCGCGCGGTGGGGCGGATGTCGAGGACATGATGGCGGCGTCAATGGTGGAGCGTGGGGTCCCCTGGTCGTGGTGGTGATGCTGGCGATGGTGTTGCTGTTGAGGAATGGGATTCTCCTGATGCCCCTCGCCTGGTCGCCTATTGCGCCGGATCTGGGATGGGGACAACGAGATGGACAACTCCTCGTCGTCGTAGGCTTGGGCCATGGCTGCCGGGAATCGCAAGCTAGCTCTTGGTCTAAAATGCCACCTCGGGTTGTGGGTGTGGAGTCGCTCGAGAAGCCAGGGCGGGTTGTCGAGGTTAACCAGGAAAGCAGGTGTCCACTCGGTTCAAAGGCACCGCGAGAGGAATCTCACTCTCGTCGCCGCTGAGTGGGTGAGAAGAGCTTCCACTCAGAGGGGCTGCCGTGGCCTGGGGTGCCCCTGGCGCCCCCCGCCTCCTGCCCCGCTGTATTTGGGATGGACTGCATCTCTGTGGGACCCCGCTCAACCCTCGCCTCGGGCGTCCCAATGTTTCAGGCCTGCCCAAGGAAAATCATGGAAAAAACACCACAAGGTAATAAATATGGACTGATACACACCTAGTACCCACCGTGATGAATCAGCACTTTACGATTGGTTATGATATCCGAGGCACATCCTGTAAAACAGAGGCTATAAAATAATTACATCCATTAACTATATTCTAGGAACAAGGAGAGGACAGTCACCAACGCGTGTACACAAAAGTACACGCATGTTGTCTTACAGCAGAGCAAGATTAAGATTTTAGATATAATTCCGGATACGCCAATAGGCACCCCTATCTGTCAAGTAGCGCTTATGTTAAAGATGTCGGAATACCAACGTCCAGCCCAAGCTCGAGAACCAGGCAACATTACGCTGACGGGAAAACCGATGAGAGCGGGACTTGCCAGTACCACGAAGCTACGGCCATGGCGCCGACGCTCATACCAAAGGCCATCAAGAAGTTAACATCGTTGTTATCCAACAAGTCCCATCCATTCTCGATCACCCTCGACGGCTTCCCGTCGCCAAAGCTGGGCCTGCGGTCTTTGTTGCGGGACTCGCGCGCATCGGCTCCCGACGCCGGGACCGTTTTCTCCACCGCAGCTTTTCCCTCGCCATGCAGCAAAGCGGCCTTAGCACCAACGGCCGCGTCGTGCTCGTGGTCCGAATGGTGGGAGCCGGCGTCGCTCGACACAAGCGCCCGCACACCACCCTCGCCTTCCACGATCTTGCCGCTGCGGACATCTTTCACGCTGGTCTGGAACAGCCCGCCGAGGATGCTGTCCACGACGCTGCCAAGGAGCCCCCAGAGGGTAAGGCCCAGAATCAGCGCCCGCCTCTCCTCGATCGCCCAGGGCGCTCCGCCGCCCAGCTTGCCCGAGGTCTCGTCGCTGCAGAAAGGCAAGAACAGCATCGCGGCCGTGACAACGATGACACTGCCCAGCAACCCAGCAGCAAGCCCCGTCAGGGTGACGCCGCCGTTGGTTCCGCGGGGGACCTTCCGGAGAGTGAGGCTGGTAATTAGTCGCGGCTGGCCGGTGGCCAGGATGCCCAGCTCGGAGCTGAGCGTGTCGGCCGCGACACAGGCGTAGTTCGCGATGATGCCGATCACGAGGAGGTCTCCGCCCCAGGCGAAGCAGAGGCTACCGGCATCGTTGCCGCCCGAGGTGAGAAGGGCCTGCTCGCGCGACCGCAACTGGTAGGCGTGTAGCAGCGAGAAGAGAGATGCGGTGAGCGAATTGGCGAGCACCTGCACGTGATTACGAGGACCCTCTGCGCCGGATCCACCGCTGGACTTCAAGGTGAGATTGGCTTTGATGTTTTCCTTGACCTGTCCCGAAATCAGCAATGGAACGGCGCGTAAACGAGAAATTAGAAGGAGACTTACATGAGTTGCCCGTGTCCCGGCCAGAAAGAAAACGACGAGGAGAGCGAATGGCAAGTTCCACGGATGAACTGCGTGCGCGATAGCCGTCAAGGTCGCGGCCAAGAGTCCGCCAGGCGTTAGTGACTTTTTGGAATAGGCTCGGTACACGAGCATCAACGTCGCTGGAATGGCGATGATGGGTTTCATCTTGTTTGAGAGTTGATATTAGGTTGAGAGAAAATGGAGAATCCGGTTCTCGGGGCTTGGCAGCCGCGATCTATCGCATCGGGGTTGGAAAACTGAAGGTTGAAGAGTCGAGGTTCGTCAGCTGCCTGGTACAGGTGACAGTTACGCAGTTTGTAAAGCAGACTCGAGAGCATAACATGGCCTGTGCTTCCAAGGAACCCTGCCTGTCTTGCTCTCTCGCTGCTCCGGAGCGAGAACCCTAACCCCCAAACAATCCCCCCCCCCTTACCCCATGCCGCCGAGCACCCGCCGATTCGTCTTTTCGAAATGTTGATCGAGGAAATGCTGTAGCAATGCCTATCTTTGAAAAGTAATGGAGATGGCCTGTAGTATCGTCATGTACCAGTAATGTCACCCCTGAACGAAACACATCTGGGGGCCGAGTGGCTTGTTCTCATCTTTGTCGCTTATGGGGGGATCTTTGGAGTAGCCGTGATGTTGTAACGCGGTTTCGGTTCCAGTAGCGTTTCCCAGTAAAATTGAGCTTCAGCTGGGCCAGGTCAGCATTAACGGGGTTTTGGATGTTCGGCATCGGATGGTGTTATCGAGACTCGGGAAGTCGGTGTCCGCTGCCGCTCGTAAAGAAAGAGGACAAGCTGGCCCAGACATGCCAACCAAATGCCGTCCTAACTAAGCCTTCTTTTTGTTACAACAGCAATAGCCCCCCAGTTCTGGACATATATTTCCCACGTGCCATCCTATTCCTCTTGCCTGACACCTAACCAGGCGTCAGCATTGTGTGGGCGCCCCGGTGGCGGATGTCCTTCCCCAGTCATTTCAAATCCCTCCCCCCTATCGCATCACTACCCCCATGTCAGCCCGGTTGTAGGCCCCGATTAGCACCTGTTGTTCAACACTTCGCTCTCGGGTGACACTGTCTCCGAGTTCATATCGGTTGTTGCTTTGCCTTGATGTGGGAGGCAATGTGATGTGGAAGTTGGCGCTGACGTAGGTGACCGGCCACACGATTGCGAAAGGAGGTATGGGATACTCACACCTTATCCCATTGTCTGGATGCCTAGTGTCGGGGTGGCAGAGAAACGAGTGCCGTCGAGCAAGCAACATGGGTGAAAAGTAAGGGAGGCAAACAGTCGTGGACGGAGTTGAGTCCGACATCCTTCCTCCGTCCCCCTTTTATACCAATGGCAAAAGCCATCTCCCCATCTCACCCGAGACCCCTCTACCGTTCGGGGGGGAAATCTCAACCCGCAACCCTCATCCCTGCCACTCTCCTGCGTATGAAAGGGGGGATCTCGACCGTTTTAGGAGATCTCGATGGTTGACGGACGCCGGCATGCGGCTACGGGTAAGTGGCCAAAAGTCAATATATCGCACCCGGCGCCGATGGCATGCGAGGTAACCACCCGGTTGTGGTAACACGCATTCAGCGTTACAAACCCTTTGTATGTCGCGAAAGAAAGGGGCCCGCGCTAACTCTCGGGTAGGCGTTGAAAAGGCCGTCGGTTGTATTTGTGCTCGCGTAGCGATGGTATCCGATGGGAGTAGAGGGACGGACATAGGCACACGAGAAACATGGCCAAGTGAGATGACGTACGCTCACTCTACCTGGCGGGAGGCGCACTCGACGTCCTGATTACATGTCCCTTTCGCAATCCCCCACAAGGAAGGAACAAGCTTGGGACCCTGACTCGGTCTTCGGTTTCCAAAGGGTGTCTCGGTGCCGACGACCTGGCCTGTATCGGTGATGTTTTCGTCCGGGAATTCGGTTCCGACGGCAGGGAGGTGCGAAGGTTCGGTGCTCAACTTGAAGTTTGTTGATCAGTCGTTGATTTACACATGGGTTGTGTCTTGTTGTTATTGAATAAACAATAGACTAGCAGTCGAAGGATGTGCGGCTAACAGCATTGGCGCGTGATTGCTACGTAACATCTGGAGCATTTTGGACCATGTCGAAGCGATGCTACAATCCATTTTCTATACAGACTTCATCTAACCCCTTTCTTTGTTCTCGACAGTCAAAGATTCCAGACAGCCGGAATATGTCCTGACTGGGTACGCAAACATGTCTCGAGACTCCCGTACGGACCAAATCACAGTGCCCCTGAATCTGTGTAACCGAGGCGCCTGCAGAAACTCAACGGTCGGAGTTTTTCATGGCTCATGACAATATGAACCGGAGTTTCATCGTTGTCAGCTGATGGGAAGAAGGACTGGACATACCCCATGTCATCACCGGCCGGACCAGGCCCTGCTTAAGCTTCTCTCAGAGATTATCACAACTTTCAAGGGGAAATTTTGAGCTCGTCGGAATGTCGGTTAGGTTGTGGCTATGTGCGGATCCGTGGTTTCCTTTTTGAGTCCTATCAGTCTTGACACGCCTTCAAACTTAGCCGGAAGTTGATGAATGATGGCTCGTGCAAGTGAGTAATTGTCCAACTAATGCGTGCCCCTGAAATAATTTTGATACGCTAGGGCGCTGCACTTCGGTACCGAACCGCACCAGAGAACGAGGTGCAGCGGAAACCAACAGCCAACTCCGGCCGAGCAACTTGAGGCCTGAGGGATATCTTGACTCGAGCGGGCGAGTGAAGGGTTGGTGAGTCCGAACAACTTTGCCCCCGTTTAGCCGGCCCTGGCGGGCTCTCGTGACCAGAAATCGGCACCGAAGGGAGCCGAAGCCCACGGCACCAAAGTTGAGTTAGAGACTGCTCGTGTAAGTAAGGTAAAATGAACGGGGAGATGGCTTCTGACTAGCGGAAGTAGAATAACTTCGGCCAGGACTCGATACCGAAAGAGACCCTTACGTCACTCGTTCTTCAAGTCACTCTATCCAACACCCGAGTGCCCGAACCGCAATCTGGGCCACCTACATACTTCACCCGCATTCTGTTGTCGAGACTCCTCGAAAATTTCTTAGATGCAAATTGCACGGCCCAATCTCGATAGAAAATACCAAACAGGCAGGAGGGGCGAGAAGTCCTTCACTGCAGTCCGGAACGCAGCCTGGGGGCGTGGACTGGCATTGTTTACTTCGTACTCAACCCCAGTTTGGATATGAGTGGGGGATCCCAGAGCTGCGGCAACACGGCACAGCGGGATCTCGCCGAGAACCATCGCCACGCAGGCTCAGCAGGCGGGTCACGGTCTAGCCTCGGAGGGCATGGCGTGAACTGCGGCCGCGGACTGTCGTAACCCGATGGTCTCCAATCAAGGCTGCTTTTGAGAAACGACGAGATTCGTTGGTGATAGTCAGGCGTAGCCGTGGTAGGATGCTCAAGGATCGACCCGTCGGGTAGTTGCGTTGGGGATCCGGAAGGACGCCGGCACCTTGGATGTCCGGGATGTTCCCCAACGCAACCTCCCGCGACACAAGAGGCGAGGCCAGCAACCGCCAGTGGCCGCGATCTGTATAAGATGCATTGCCTGTCCGCCCAGAGGCGGCCTTTCAGGCAAAGCAACATGCGCCGGACGCTTATCCAGTTGAACGATCCTGCCAAGCAGAAGGCGGCGTCGGTGATGGCTTATGGCCGAGCTCACATTTGGCTGCATCCCGAAGAACGTTGTGTCACCTTCCCGTCCAATAGGGTATTTGGCTGCGTTTTTACGACCGAAGTCAATCGCCGGAATGGGCAGCATTGACGGGGGGTCGCTCTCCAGAGCTTCAAAGGGACATCCTTCTTTAATTCTGCTGACTTTTTGCAAGTCGTGTTGGCAGATATTATCGATTCTCGTCTTTCGGGTGCTGCCCAACCCGAGGGACTTTCAGCCCCGCTAGTTATTAAACCATGTGCATCTGTGAGGGCCGCGATCCGGCCAGACGGTCCTCGACTCTGTCGGTAGTAACTCGTAACGAGAGCTACGACAGGTGTGGTTCAAGGCGACCAAACCAACAACCCACCCAGCGGCGAGCGGCCCCACAACTTGGCTAGAATATTTCCAGTCCTAGCTTGTATGACTTTAACAGACAGGCTGCTTCAAAGGTGGCCGTCGTAAGGTAGATCAATACCGGGTGCGTTTAAGCCATAATAGGCCAACAGCCGCAGCGGAGAAATTCGTTGTAGTGGCCGATCATTCCAACATGCTGTTGGGGTTTTGGCCATCGGGTGAAAACCTCGGGGCGTCGAAGATGTCTCGGCGGAACAGCAGCTCTTCTTGTTTTGAGGACATATCGGCTCCGGGGCACAAAAAGGACGACCGTCGTTGAGATATACGCTAGGGGAGAGAAAGGAAGGACGGAAATGACTTGCCTCGAGTAGAAGTTGGCTCACGACCAAGAGGCATGGTTGACAGGTTTCAAAGGGCTTTCTCCGGCTGTCTCGCCCTATACGTATCTTCGTGGCACAATATTTACGCCTCAGGTAAGGTGCAGTGTCGGCGCGGAGATGCACCATTGCTCCCTTCCAAATAGTGAGCAGCGGTCGCATAAAAGCCTCCCGGTTATCCCTGGTTGTTGGGTCAGCCTGTTTTGTTTTTGGCTTTCTCGCCGAGGCCGGCGAGAGGTAGTAAGATAAGTACGGCGTTTGGTTTGCGAATTAGCAGCTCACCAGCCCCCCTAAATGCAGGTTTCCATTCAAGCTTGGAAGTAATCGGAAGGCGTTCAGACAAAAGAGGAGATGCTAGGAAACTGTTGTGAAGAGCTGGCGTTCGCAAGCGGTGAAGCCATACTTGCGAGAATACGGAACTCTGCAGGAGGAGCGACGTGTCATGGTAGACATAATAGAGGGTCTCTGTGAGTATCCGAGCGGCTGTGTCACGCGTAGCATTGTCGGCCCTCTGACGTGTTGCGACACGATTTTCTTTAAATTCCATGGCGGTTGTGCAAAGAAATTGGGATGCCCAGCAGGGCACGTTGGTAGGGGCCGTGTTTCGCTTGCCTTACCGATTCAGGAATACACCTTTCCCAATTCGGTTACACCCCACCATTGGCTTGCCTGGGCGCTATCGGGTCTTTTTTGGAGCAGGGAGGGGACGATCACAGAAGCCACCGGCACCTTCCCGAGCCCACATCAGTGTGGGAGGCGGCCTTGGGAGGGTAGTAATGAGATCGGCGCTCGGCAGAAAGCTTGACTTTGTATTGAGATTGCAAGGATCGGGGAGCGTGAGCTTGGGAAAAAAAAAACTCAAAGTCGGCACCACTCGTCACATGTATGTGTGCCCATCGGCCAAATCCAGCAGATAGCCGTGGTTTACTTTTTTTGCGCCTTCCGAGCCCGAGTCGAGGTTGTGAAACCGTGACGAGGAAGCAACTCCCATGGTGATGGTCTCGTGCAGAAAGGATGCAGAGAGGATGCAGAGCGAATGCGGCAGTTTACCACCAGAAACCAGCCACAAACCAACCTTGACTGCCAGTCACATTGAAAACCGCCCCAGAGCCCACGAGACTCGAGTCTCAACTACACACCGTTGTTTTCGGAATTATCTGAGACAGGGAGCAACGCCGCCTTGGGATTACCCCAAGAGCTACAGAAATCTCAGACATGAATCGACGTCGGGGATGCACGAGGTTCCCAATTAGCACCTCCGGCCCAGGACCAAAGGGAGAACATAACGATCGGCTTGGTAGGCAGAGTTGCTCTCTCTTACACGGCAGAAAATTCTTGGATTACATCCACCCGAGGAGGATTCACATTGCCTCGGGCTATCAAGGTCCCGTCAGCATGATTGCTGCGTCATCAACGGGCACCCGACTTCTGCGGCTGACAAGGCAGCGCTGATTTATCAGCAACAGTGTTTCGATCAAGCACGTATTCGTCAACATTTCCGAGGCGAGTTTCGACATGATGCGAATCGCTGCTCGTCCAGTGGCTTCATCGCGGAGCGAACCCGGCCTTCTCGGCGTGGGTGGTGGAGCCCCGGGACCGGGCACGGCATCCGTATCCGGAAATGCAGGGTAGTCATTCCGTGTCCCAATTGGCCGGCGATCAAGACCCCACGGCCAACGGCCAAGATGGTTTTGGAAGTGCAGATACCGGTCAGTCTATATCGGCATCACCCGATGGCATTTGCCTCAGCTCCTGCCTCTTGAATCCTGCCTGACGACCGGTGATTCTCGGGTTGCTGATTGCTTGCAGCGTCTTCCACGGACGGGTCCCACAAGCCCAAAGCGAACAATACCATTCAGCCTATCGACGCTTCGTTCGAAAACCAACCCTTGCCTCCCGGATACACAACAGTAGTCAGCACTGAGGAAGCAAACTGCGGGCTTTTTTTAGGTCCTCTGCAATTTGCTCGTTATTGACAGCCCCGGCCGACGACCTCTGGGGTTCCCGTGCCTATGGAGACGAAGACGGAAGCGGGACTGCACGCGGGACGGCATCCAAGGCTGTGGATTGTTATGCGAACTCCTATCCAACCACCAGTAGGTGCTGTAACTCGCTTTTCAAATCTTGTGAAACTAATAAAGGCGTAAGGCTTGCTTATCATGGAGATTTTGGCTCGGTGGTTTTCAGTCCTCTTTGCAGCCTCGTTCACATGTCCAGGAATGTCTTCTCCTGCACGTCCTACATCTCCGTCCAATGGTGCGCTCCCAGGTGTAGGCGCCCCAATCGTGGGGGCTCAGGTAGCGAACATGCGTGACCCAGTTGCCCCTTCATCGTAGCTTCGGTTTTGGGGGAACGCCCGTTCGGTACTCCCATTTAACCGTATCGCGCAATCCGAGCAACTCTCAGCAGAATGCCCGCTCCAGTAGTGGCAACGATATCAAAAAGGGTGACAATTCATTCCCAGCTTCCCGGAATGAGTTAGCCGCAATAAGCTGCCGCGAACTCGGATGCGAACATTAGCGCATTTTCCCCGCCATGCTTTATGACCTCAGATTGAATATTGAAGTTCCCGGGAGAGGGGAATTGAGCCCGACACCTAGATTTGATGTGGTTGGGATACCCCCGTCTGGAAGTCCTCAGCCCGACGTCAATCCGGGGAAGTTTGTGGCCCAGAGACCGCCGCTCTTTTCCTAACCACAACAGAGAACGCCCGTGCTCTGTTCTTTCACTTTCTTATTGACAACAAGCACGAAAACACGAAATTACCTACCTTTTGCCTTCTCTTGATACGCCACCTATCTTACTCAAATAGGTAGGTATCTAGACGATGACATGAAAGAGCTTTTCGACATCGATGGCTACCCAGGCATTGGCATCATATCCATGTTCCATGATGCGCAGTTTCGATGTGCGTCCAACCGAAACGAAGACCAAACAAACGGAAACCCGAAAGGGAATGCACGCGAAAGAGATAAGAGAAAACAGTTTGAGCGCGTGGCAATGACGGGCCGTCCTTCTCCTCATCCCGTCCTTTGGACCGCTGAGTCTCAGGCTGGCACAGCGTTGCAAAACACGGGAGTCCCGGCAAAAGGGCTGTCCCGTGTCTAACAGTTAGACGGTGGAAGACGGGACCCAAGCAGGCCGTCCAACTTACTTAGCGTTACGGAACAGGAACTGCAAAGGCCCCGGAACGGGAGAGGGGAAGGAGGGGTGGCACTTGCCGGTGGTTGGCCCGCCCGCACTGCAGGCACGGAGCAACGCAGGCAGGCACCACCTTGGATAGGGAAGGTGTGGCCGTATCAGAAAGCCGATCATTCGGGTTGATCGCCAATCTTCCCAATTTGTTTTGACCTCTTTTTACTGATACAAGATCCAGCCTTGCATAGGCCTGGCCATACCTCATTCGACTCGGCTTGGTGCCCACCGGCCACGACCACCAACCACCCCGAGTGGTGTCCTATCAAGTGACCATTTTCGCCCGAGGCGGCCGAGAATGCAGTACCTGATCTGGCCCGCCTTGACGAACCGTGGCTGGCTCGATCCTTCGTACCTGTGCCAAATCAATTCTGACTGACGGCGGCTGTACCGCGAATTGAGTGATGTAAACATCCACGGATGAAAAGGTGAGCGAGAATGTACCCACGGATTGAATGTTATGGATTGATGGCGCAGCTGGTGACACACTGCCAGTAACAAGCGTATATGCTCCTCTAACTTTCCATGTTTTCCAGCAAGATAAGATTTCTCGTTGTCGGCAGCAGCCGATGGTTCTCTAAGGAGGCGTGCGGAACCCGTCGTAGCACCAAGGTACATCCAGACCCGTATCGTCGTTCCCGGTTCCACGGTGCAGGTTTTGCTGCACCCCCGTCCCTGCGCCCCGCTACTCTGATGATGTTACAGTCATTGCAGCTTCTTCCCATGGAGCTGAACGCCCGCAGTTTCCAGGCAGTTCGTTAAGGTACCGTGCCTGCCGTCTCGCGCTTGGGAACGATGACCGGGAAGGGGCTGCTTCCATACGACGCCCGTTTCCTGCCCAGCCATTGGTACTTGTCTTTGAGTCACTTACCTGGAAGAGGAAGCCCATGCTTATGCAGCCGTGAATCGGCTTGCTGTTCGGTTCGGATCTTGAGGGCACTCTTGCATACGCCCACATGGGATCGCCAGCGCGTGCTATGCTGCCATGCTGGTAGGTCTCAGTTGCTGGATGAGTTGGCTAGGTGCTCTTTACGGGTTGCACATGCCCGCTCTCTCGAGATCAGTTTGGCGCCTTGGGCTTCCCCGTTCACATCACCAGACATTGGGAGTGTCTTGCTGCCCCTACCCCCGCCCAAGGCTTCTCTACCGCAGACACAAGATCACCCACAACCTGTAGGTGGTAGGTACATACCTGTCAGCCGACTCTAACACGCATTGTAGTGAATTACAGCGGTCTTGGACGCACCTGCGGTTTGTTTCGAGTGTTCTGGAATCCGCTATACGATTTAGTTAGAGGGAAAGACGGCTCCTTCTCGGGAGGCCGGCTCCAACCACTTATCACGTCACCCCGCCAGGAGGTCAAAGGACGCAGATCCCGGTTTTCTCAAGTGCTGCCTTCTGGGCTCGTCGCTTCTTGTTTCCTTTTTCCCTGTTTTGGCCCTTTATTCCATTGAAGCTCGTGGCCGCCGGCTTACAGAACTCGACCTCCCGGCCCTAGACTCCGCGCCAACCGTCCTTGCACCCACTCCCGTCCGGCATCACTGGCCCGAGATAATTGTTCGGAGCTAAGGCAGGTATGTAGCAACGTACCCCGATCCTGGCGCCTCTTTTAGACGGCGGCTGAACACTGTTGACAACTTGGTTGGCCAGACTTTGCTTTCTTCGTTGTCTTACACTACGGGTACGTACCACAACAATAACCACCACTACATCCAGCGTCTTCACACAGACCATGCCCATCTCCCTCTGCAGATACGCATGCCAGATCCTGGTCCCCTGCTCCACTCACAGCCCATGGCACCCCCTTGTCGATTGGACCGCCTCCTATGAGCTCAGCTTGCCGCAGCTCCGCCTCTGTCTGAACACTTGGGGACACTCACAGACGAGAGATGTCTTGTCACCATTTCCGATATTGAGAAGGAAACCCCATCCGGTAGCTCTCATCCTAACCCCCCCCCGTCTCAGATGAAATCTCTGTTCTGCGCGCACACACACTGCTAATTGTACAAATGGGATGAAGACGCGGAATTTTACAGAGGAAAGAGTTTCGAAGGCTGCCGTGTAAGTATTTCTTTTGCGACGCTGCTTGTTTATGTTTCCATATAGAAGTTCACTGTGCTGGCACAACTCGTTCGACCTCTGCGAGTCATGCCCCGAACCCTGAGGCCGATCCTTCACTAGA